GGGTGTCCGGGCGTGTAAGGGGGGTGAAACGAATAAATTTAAGCCTCTTTTCCGATTGCACCGTCCATTGTTTCAATATTAAACATGGACGAAGCGCAATAAATCAATGAACCATGTCCTCTGCATGCTTCTACGGCTGCTGCATATTATGCTCTTCATGGCAATATAACAACACAAGGCAGGAGGAAGCTCCTCCACAGCATATTACTCATACAATGCCCGCCCCCCTGCCCTGGCGTCCCTCTTATTCAACAAAATTAATAATATGCAGATATATTGAGGGGTCCATGCGACGAGACGGCGCGAGAATGGCGTCCGCTCCAATTAATTAAAGTGCCTTTTATTAATAACACAATAATAAATGCGGAAACTAAGGAGCGAGAGAGAGAGAGAGAGGGGGAGTGTCTCCTGGCCACCTAAAGAGGCGAGTTCAAAATTTATCATTTATTATCATTCACGTCCACGAATAAAATTATGAATGTGATTTCCTCTCGACGACAGCGAAACCATACACCTCGGCACCGGGTATTGTGGATGGCATCCCCCAAGAACCCACCCCACGGATGGGATGGAGAAACAACAGCTTTGATTTATGGGTCTATTAAAAGAAAATTCCAACACTGAATTCGCGGTTGAGGCTCATTCCCCGAACCTTTGAGCGGTGCTATAGAATGGACAGGCTCGTTAATTTATTGTTAGATAGAGAAACTTAAGTCTTTGTCTATGAAATTCCTTGTGATTAGAGGGACAGGAATTTTTGGTTCTAAATAAAAATTACGCCGGAGTTCCAGCTCGACATTACAGTATCACGACATTTGGTCGTAGCCTGGAAAATTGAGAAGGCTATTAAGAGTTCCAATCAACATTTGATGCTGCTTCTGCACATAGTTGTCAATTCAAACTGATTTTGAATCGATCTCCCTTTAAAACATTGCCACACTTTTTCAAAGCTTTAAAACATCCCAAATCACCCTTATTTTCCGTACAGACGCCCCTCCTCGCTTGATTCGTGTGTGACACGGGCTTTCTTGCCCGTCTCTTCCTTCGCACTCGTAGGATATCCAATCCGAAACCCTCCGACAAATTGGCTTGTAAATTTACAGACAGAAATATTCATTTCTTCCTCACTGCCGGGCTAATGGTCGGTCCGTGGGGGTGGAGGCAGGGTGGAGGGCAGTCAAAAAGAATTGCAAAGTGAGGCGCGCGCTCCTCGCAAGGATCTGGTCAGTCGTATGCATGGCAGAGCACTAATATCGCCCCAGTGCAAAACACACCGCGCATATCGATCCGGGGAGCACGAGAGCGAGTTGTGTGTCACCCGGTGGGGTGAGCAATTGAAGAGGGTGGCTCCGGGGGTGGCGCACGGCACACAATGTCCGACGACTATTAGCTTTGTTTTTGATTTCGCCCGTGATTTATTGTCGAGATTTATTAAAAAATTTATAAATATGTATACCAAAGTAAATCACAGGGAAAATAGACACAGGCTGTGCGCAGGAGTCTGGCCAGAGAAATCCTCGAGAAGAGAGGAGAGATAGTAAATAAATTGTGACGGGATTTACTTTTCTGGTGGGGCATCTGGCGGCAATGTTGGACCTTTTTCGCATCTCCAGAAATATCAATTTCGACCCACCTCATGAGCCACTCATTACGTGACACTCGACAGCCCCTGGCCAAGGTGGGTTTGCAGCCGTGTCGGCGGGGGATTGAGTGGGAGGGGGCACAGACCGGGCATTGAGACGGGGATGTATTTGTCCGGCATGTGAAGCAATTTAATTTAATTCATTCTACAGCTGAAATTAAATGCATCCTGAAAGGCATGCATTTTCATTTCCATTTGTTTTCCACTCCACCCATTCGCCCACCCACTGTCAACATGCAAGAGATGAAAGTGAACAGAGGGTGACCAACATTGCCAGCATATGCTTGATACCCGAACCTCTTCCATCCGCTCAATTGCATCATTTGCAAGTGATATCATGCGATTTCATTAATTGTTGCTCGCCATTTTCGCCGAGCTTCTTAGGAACGAGGTTTTGAGATCCGTGAATTGGTGCCATTAGAGCGGCCAATTAGGAGTTTCACACATTTTTACAAATAGACATATAAATCGTCTGCTTAATGTGGGCGCTCGTCTTTGAAGAAAGATATACTCATCAAGGTCGTTCATGCGACAAAGAAGTCTTACGCTTTTTATCAGCTAGAGGACCAAATGGAATTTATACAAATACATTTTGAGTGAGAAGATCAACTGGAATATTACTTATGATTCTGTGTGAACTTAAGCAAATCATGAAGAAATTCATCTGTATATAATTTAGAAGTATGAATATTTAATATGAAATTTAATATTAATTAAAATTGAGACATTTCTGTGAGGATAATCACATTTAAACATGAATGCAAAAACTCACCAGTGATTTTTTACACTGTTATAAAATGCATGGAACTACTAATTAGTGCCTATCACCGGAAATTGCCTAATTAATGGACTTCTGTCGTTTCACAAAGCACTGCAAATTTTTCCACGGTAAAATATCCAATGCCTTTGCAGTTTGGCAATGGGACCTTTCTGAAGGACAGCGTGGGCGTTGTGCGGAAAAAGAGTGCTATTAGGAGCACCCTATTGAAATCCTTGTCATTTATTAATTAAATTCCATGAATTAATACCCACACGTCGGTGGGCGGGTGGGCCGCGAAAAGGGGTAAAATTTGTAATTATCATCAATTTCCCATTAAATTTAACATGAAATTGGATGTGCCAAATTAAATTGATGGGAAAAGGATCAAACATCATTCATTACGGCTGTGTAATTGTTCCACGATTGTATGTCCATCTGCGAGCGTTGGTGGGTGGGTTTTGGGGGAATTGTGGGAGGCGATGGCGCCTCTGGCGTGTGCGCGATGGAGCCGCCTGGTGGTCAGGGAATAGCTAGAAAATAGTCGGCAAAATCACCCCCCGCGATATGCAGATTAGCGCGGGATGGTCAGTTTAGAGAGGGAATCAATAGGCTGTCGGCAATAAAATATTCCCTCTCCGCAATCAATGGGTGATTGGGTGGAAAAAAAAGAAGCTGAAGAGAGTGTAATCAATGTTAATTAATTAAATCGCCCAACAGGCTTATGAGAGCGAGAACATGGCCAACAATGAGGCGTGTACAGTGTATTGAAAATGAGCGGAATTAGATGCGTTTATTAATTAACAAAAGCAGGTTGATGATTCTTCTCCCGTCTGCACACACTTCCGGCGCACAAGAGCGTAAGATATGGAAGACCAACTAATTAAATTAGTGATAATATATCCACCCGGAGCCTCACCCTCGAAAATTGCCCCATAAAACTCGATTGTGTGTGTTGGGATGTTCCTGGCGGGCCCCGCGTGTGTATGCTTCCTACCCTAAACCGAGGTTTTTGTTCAATTCAATTAACAAACCCGCATCACTTCTGGCTCGAAACAGAGCCCCACCGCCCACCCACTCCCGGCATGCAATCTCACAAAGGACTCATCTGTTGTCTCATCCACTTTCCACCCCGTCCTCCACCGCAATTATAAAAGACACACATAAACTCTATATAGCGTAATCAAACAAATAATTATCTCAATCTGTGTTCGCCGCTGCGTGTGGCAAAAAGTGGGTGGCGAAATTCAATTTCGCCCCTGCGAGGGTGGGTGGCTTGTTTGAATTGGATTTTTTTAATACGACAATTTCTCCCCAACCGCCACGAAGAGATTTATCCCCGCCCCATGCGTCGGGAAAAAAAGGATGTACATTAAAAATTTTCATTCACTTTTTCGCTGTCTGACGACAGACAACTTTTCAATGTCAGAGTGGTGAAAGCTTGCTATTCGCACTTTCTAGATATATGCTAAATGTTTTTTGGCTCTTGTGTATGTTCTGCTTCAAAGCCTGAGGTTCAGACGCACTGCTTGATCTAAAAACAGATTAAGAATCGACTTTGGAGAACATTAATCACTTTCCGCAAACCAATCTCACTCTGCCATCTATGTGCTGTGCAACTCTGGTGTTTGCAATTTTCTCTTAGCGCACGTCCTCGAAAAAAATAATTTCTGTTTAAGTTGAATTATGGCGAATGGATTGAAGGGGTGACTGGGGTTGATTCCAATTGTGGGGTTGACCCCTATTTTCAATTGTTCGCGTGGGTGGATTTGGGACGAGGTCTGAAAAAGCAATAATAAACGCAATAAATGGCGTGGAATGTAACGTCCATCCGTATAAAGAATTGCACTGGGGATTTTTTGCCGAATTGGTCCTGGCCAACCCCCCAAATTGGCGGGAATCCCGTACTCAAACTCCGCCGAGCCTCAATTCAATAAAGTTGAAAATAATTATTTTGCCAATGTTCCTTCCCTGCTCGACACACACACTTACTGGGCACGGGAGTGGGTTTTTGGGGTGGGTGTGCAGGGGGCCATTTGAATGCTGGAGGCGAATGAGAGCGCAATAGAATTATTGGGAGATAGAGAAATATAAGTTCTTCACTGTGTGTGTATTTAACATCTCGTATTTATATAACAGGCGGGCGCGCTTTAATTAATTTAATTAAAATCCTCTTGTACGAACATTCACTAATTGGCTATTCCTCTCCAGACACACATCATCGTGTTTCTGCCTCTCTACACATGCAATTTCACATTTTATATGGCGAATAAATATGCATGTACATCATTTATTTGTTTGTTTTCATTTGCTTTTTTCTTGCGCCCACCTCTTCCTCCCTCTCGTTCGCGCCTCTTTTCACGCTACCACACCAAATATGTGCCTTTTTTGCTGCTTCAAATTTCATCTTTTCATATACAAATTTGTTGAACCAACGCAGTGCAAATTGCCTCTCACTTTTCCTCATTTGCTAAATGAGTGCTGCAGCTTTTCCGGAAGTTTCTAGAGGGGTTCAAATTAATTACACATACAGTGCATAAACACAATTGAGATTGTCTGTTTTCCTACAAAGTCTCCTATTTCTTCCCTGTCTCTTTCTAGGTGCCATCGAGTCAACGAATTGTTCTCTGTATTGCAGAGAGATATTCTCAAGGGTATTCCGAGGAATTAGCAGAGTGAAATCAAAAGTGATCGAAGTGAAGTCACAAGAACAGCTGCGTAAGGGTGCATTTTGTGACGGCGCAAGCGATTAAAGTCCATATTGGCGCCTATCAGGGGGAGCCTGAGCAATCGTCCCAACACCGCCAACGTCGTTGAGTCTCTGCTGCTGCCGCCGGCGGCGCCACACTTTTCCACGGGCGACGGCAATAGAAAATCCGCCAAACTGGCCGCGTCTATAGCAATGAACCCGCACTACCATCCGTACTCGGAGCTGTCCTCGCCACATCCACCCAGTCCGGACAACAACAACTTCCCGCCACTGGCCGGCGGCCATCACCACAACGGCCATGGCCCCTTCATGTCCATGGAGGGGCAGCAGGGATTCCACCAGATCAACAACAACATCGGACCCATCAAACACTGTGGCGGTTGCGGAGGTGAGTGCCTGAATCTATTCAAGTTTGAGGGTATTCACAATAGGTTCTCAATATGTTTGGCCAAATTAAATTCCCAGAAATCAAATTGAATTATCCTCTAACATTCTATATTGCGTCCGAAATCGCATAAATTGATGATAATGGACAATTCTCTAAAATTGCTATTTTGGTTTCCAATGAGAACATAATAGCAGCAGCTGAAGATGGTAATTGATAGGCTGAAACTATTTTAGAGTCAATCACCCCCAAAATAGCAGGAAAATTATTGGATACAAAACAATTACGGAGGAATAAACAATTCTTTGGGACTATGAAACAGCTGACTTCCATTTCAGGCTTCATTTCAATTAATTGAATTTTACAGCTCGGGAGATTTTCCAACAAGAAAATTGACTCTTAATTACACACTAGAGGATCAATTCGAAACCTCCTGTTTCGCTTTGAGGCCTAAGGGAATCACATTTTTTAAAATAATAACTCTCTGAGCTGAAAAGGCACGACAAAAGGAGATTTTATACCTTCTCCATTGCGTTGGAAAGTCGGTCGGATTGAGTGCTGCAAATAAGGGAGGGCGGATTGATTCGTCCCTCGTAAATCTCTGAGGGTAAATTAAATAATTTTTCATGGATAATTCAGGGATGTGCCGGGGTGTGTGTAACACAATACAAATAATTGATTTCATCCTCTTCGGCGACCAACAGGTAAAATCGTGGAGAGATTCTTCTTGCATGCACTTGACAAATACTGGCACAACTCCTGCCTGAAATGTTCCTGCTGCGGTGCAATGTTGGCTGACATCGGGAGCAGCTGCTACACGAGAGCCGGGATGATTCTGTGCAAGGCTGACTACTCCAGGTAAGGAAGCTGTCACTCATTTGGTTATTCTTGGGCGCATTGAAGAGAACGAAGGGCTTCCAGCGGGGGTCCGGGCGAAGAAAGAGCCATACAGCTCGAGTTTCTTCGTGGGAACTTGAGACTCTCTCCACTGTCCTCACTCGAAGGGGTCTTCACGGGTGCGCGGAGAGGCTCTTGAGGGATTGAGGACCCTATTTGTATTCAATTCACTAATTTTCTTCATCAATGGATCGCATGCAGTCTGCAAAGTTTCAAGAATCTTGAGAACACTGAAATATTAGGATTGTCAATGAGTTTTTTTCAGCAATCTTCATATAAAATTGCATGTGTAACTAAATGTTTCTAAATGCTTGTGGTGAAGATGAAAGAATTTGCACAAGAAAACTTAAAGTTCAGCTGATTTGCACGCAGTATACTCAGCTCACTCAATGAAAAGTTTCATAAATTTCGGAGTCCCAGCAATTCCTCTGCTCGACACTTTTTTATTCGACGCCGAGATCAACCCCAGCTGAGCAAGGCGGGAGGTACACTGAGAGAAAAGGGTCAGTGAGCGCGCGTTTCCAAGAATCCCACACACATTCGCGTGAATTTATGCCACTGTACGTCAGGCGGGATCTGTGGGAGCGCGCACAGCCAAAAACAATTGTAATACAATAAAATAAATACCGAGGGATGCTGAGGATGGCGGGGACGGAGGGTGGGGTGTGCCAAGCAACTTCCACACACAGTGGAGCTCTCCTGTTCTCTCTCACCCAAAGTGAAATTGTGTGCTCCTCATTGATTATTCCGTTCATGAAGTCGTCGGTTTGCACATTTGTGGAAATTTGAATTTTTATCGCGTTATCGCGTCACTCAAGTAAATTGCGAATTATATTGTCTTTTTGCGTCTCTCCCATTATTTCTTACTCTCATTCACTTTTGCTGCACTTCCAACTGGTTTTCGCCTCTTGGCACTTCTTTTTTTCGGGACGCCACAGTTTCTGCCCTCGTCCTACACCTTCCTGCCTGGCAGACACTCTGCAAGATGCAAATGTCATTCAGCCATAAAAGGCGATGGAAGGGCATTTCTCAGGATGATGCCTATTTCCCTGAGTGCAAAAACCACTCTACAATGATGCGATGAAACTCCTCAATATCGCCTCCTAATATTGTGAAATATCTCCCTCTCAATCGCCGAGAATTTCTAATTAATATTAAACAGAGAGGAGAGAACCGTAAGGTACCCAGCAATTCCCAATAAGATCCCATAATTGGCACTTTGATGTATCTCTTCGGTAAATCCCAACTAGTGTGGAAGATGAAGAGGGAAAAAAGGCAAAAACGCCCACAAAAATAAATCCCAATTGATTGAAAAACATCAAACCGACATGGTTTTTGCCTCATATTCGCTCTGCGACTGCGAAAGTGTTCGTGACGCTCCAGGTGTTCTCCTGTGCACCTAAAGCCAGACTTGCCAGGCCTCACTAATTGGGGACACTTTTAAGTTTTTGGAGCATGAGCAAACTGCCAGGCAGGGGTAATCGCATGGAGGTCGGAGAGGTCAAGAAGAGCAGACTCGTCGCATAGGAAGGTCAGAGGTGACTTTTTGCTTGAGCACAGGAGAGAATTGGATGCGTGAAAAAATGCAATTAAGGCATTTTTTCCGCCTCCACCTATTGGAAGCAAGTTGGATATTAACCCCATGGCGAATGGACGGAGAAATCTCAATTAAATTGGATGCAGAGTAATTTGAAAATTATTTCTGCGACGCGGAGGGTCACTGATGGCATTGTGAAAGACATTCCGCACACCTTGAGTCAAGGGTGAAGAGAGTAAGAGAGACGACGGGCAAGGGGCTGAGGAACCCTCGTTACATATGTCGAGGGGCGGAAAAAAATTGTTGGAATGTATGGATGTTGAATGTGATTCAATTCAAACTATGTAGAGGAGAGCTGGGCTTCTAGAGAGAGGAATTTGAAATTACATTAAGACGAAGTGAGTTGTTTTTTGTTCCTCATTTTATTACTAATTTCAATTTAAGTTTAGACTAAGCTATTTTATGTGTAAAATAGGCACTAAAAATATCTTGAGAAATATATATCAATTAAATGTAATTTTATTGACACAATTTTGCTCCGTATGAAATTTAACAGATAAAAATAGTATTGAGTCCAATTAAAATCCAATTTCCACGGTTTGTTTCTCAATTCTTTCGCCACACTCTCCGGTCTGTGCCTTTTAGTTTCCCGATGACCGATATCTGGGGGTGAACTCCACCCCCGAAACATTGTATTGTGAATTAAATCAGATTGACTTTTCACCCTCATGCTCATCGATTCTCCATGCCCTCCACATGCCATCAAGTATCTGATCCGCCAACAATTGAAATAAAATGGAAACACAATTTTCAATTTTCCATTATTTTCTCTCACTTCACGTTCGTCTTCGCTGTCTCGCTTTTCCCGCTCAATTTCCCCGGTGTTTATTGGGAGTTGCTGGAGAATTGCTTGGGAGGAAAATTGGGGAAGTTTCCCAAACCCCCACACCGTGCTAAAACCCCTTTCCACCAGATGAATTTCCACCCCAATCGTGATATAATATTCCAGGTGAATGGGAATCGGGACCCAGTGAGAACAGTGAATCCTGCCATCCTCCAATTATAATTGTTTTATGCACAATTTGCGAGGCATGAATTCTAATTAAATTAACGAAACGAAAACGATACAAACTATGACTAACAGAAAGTGGGCGAATGGCACGGGGTTTGAGTTGTCGGTACACCCAAAGTCGGAGGGTTTGTTTTTGCACTCGCAGGCGCTCTCGCTCTCCCCTCAAGGGGTGTTTATACATAATGAGAGAGAATTGCTCCGGAGGACGTAGTTTCGTTTTAATTTGTTTCACACGCTGCTGCCGCCTTGTATGGGCTTTTGTATCCCAGCCCGAGAAAGCGAGGCGGCATGAGGGGCGCCCAAATGGGCGTCTGTGAATGAAGGGTGGCAATTTTCGTGGTACTTTAATTACATTAATTATTAACCATAATGTAATGCATACAATGTCATAAATTCACCACCACCGTCGCAAATTCCTCAACATAATGCACAGAAAGGAAAATGCATCCACTTCTGCATTATCGTCAGAACACGAGAAGCTTTCAATAAATTGTGGGTCAGAGGGTCAAGATAAAACCGCTGGTGCTTCATACTGAGCCTAGATTTAACTCAAAACCTCAGGAATATATGCGAAACCACGAAAACTAAATTACTTTCTGCGATATGAGATTCTTGATCGCTTTTGCCGTGGGTCCTTTTAGCGGAAAAGCGCGAAATGCTGTGCAAATAGTTTTTCAACGCGGGAAAACAACCCTCTCTAGATCACCATTGACACCCACCGCCCACTCGCCGAAAGCAAAAAAGCTCACATGGCGAAGAGCGCGCTCAGAAAACTCTACTCACTCCCTCTGGAAAAATCCACCTCATTTCAATTTTATTTTCAACTGTCCACAGCAAACAGAGTCACACATCTCTCGAAAATTGTGTATCTCATTTGATTTTCATCTCTGTAGCCTGTGTGTGCCCACATTTGAAATGTTTCGCGGCTGAGGCGTGCAATTTTCTCTTGAATTGTTTCCAACAAATTGGATTTTAAATTAAAAACAAACTTGTGAGCGAGTTTAGTTTGATTTACGTTCTCGATATGTGAAGCTCAGCCCGAAGGATGAGTTTTGGGAAAAGAGGAAAACATTTCTCAGTGCGATAAATCTTCACTGCAAATTAATCGAGATTGAAGAAAGTGAATCTATCTTGTATTTTGAATCAGGTTTAAGTTTTATCTGCATTTTCTAATAACAAAAATGCATAACAACTTAATGTCACAACTAAGTCTCTGTATTTTAATGGTAAAATAACGGTGGAAAATTTCTGGAGGATCATTGACGATATTTTTGTGAATTTTTAGCCTTTTATGGCATCCACTAACTAACTTTCCACTACAGCCAATAAATTATACTAATTGGAAGAATTTATTTAATTTAAAATTGTCTCGAAAAATAAATTGCAAAAATTGCACGTCATTTTATTTTATGATAATTTTGCAGTCTGATATTTTCCTCCAGTTGTTGCTTGGCTATCAAATCGCTTGAATTGAATTTACTCCCATTAGCATTGTCAATGGTTATGGACATCAATTAGCAAAATGACCAACTCCTCGAAATTGGGAAATTGAGAATTTGTCACTTGAGCAGAAATAAATTTTCCCTTAGTAATCACATAAATTCATAGGGGGATTTTTCGCCTGGACAGGAGCATTGATTAAATCTGTCAATGAATTAATTGTGACGATAATAAATAGGAGAAATGTGAAAATTAATCAATTGTGGCTATCCTTAGGCACTTTTCCTTCACTCATCCGGAGTGCCAATTATAAATACACACACGCACGACTTCCTGAGAACACTCCCAACCATCTGAGCTTTCGCCATGAGCTCTCCACGCAAGCTTTGTGCGTGTGTAAGGGAAAAAAGGGGTCTCGGCGAGAATCAATTTGCCTGACAAAGTCGCGCTCTCGGCATGCTAAATGAAATTTTAATGATTATTTGCACTGATTTCATCCAATTAGGCCATAATCCTCGCTCGAGCAGCTGGAGTATAACTTTTTCCCGCCGGATGACTCACAATTCAATACGTCATTTTCTTGTCATTCCCGCCATTATGGATTTCATGTTCTTATTAAGGAGCTTCGGGGAATTTATTTTGCAACCATTCAAATCTAATCTCGCCTCCGCCAACGGCTTGTCAAATGTCAATTTGTCTCTCATGCTCTTGCCAACCACCCTTGAGTTCCTTCTCACTGGCTGAGGCGCTCTCCACGAAGGGGCGTTGGTTCGGTCAAGACCACGTGTCGAGTTAGTTGCCACCTAAGACAGAAAGTGTGGTCCGAAATTCAAGGTTTTGCGGACTTGTGATCAGAGAAATGGAAATCAAATCGAGCGTCCAATGAGACGAACTCCCTTGAAACTTCTTAAT